AACAAAAAGAAGTCATTATTATCAATATAAAGTCTAATGATCAATTATATTTAGGGTCAAAAAGCAAGAATAAATCTAGCAAGAGCATTATATCGTGATGCTGATATTTATTTATTAGATGATCCTCTTTCAGCTGTTGATGTTAAAGTTTCGAAACATCTTTTTGAAAAGTATATAATAAATATAATAAAAAATGATAGAAATTTTTTTTTTTTTGTAAATTTTAGATCAATAAAAAGTTATTTATGTAACAAAATTTGTATTTTAGTTACTCATCAAATTCAATTTTTACGTTATGCAACAAAAATTATTCTACTTGAAAATGTATTAGTTTAGATAAATAATATATATATATATTTATTGATATAATATTAAATTTATATATGAATAGGGAGAAATGATACAAACAGGAACATTTGATGAATTACTTACAATATCATCATCATTTAATTATTTATTAGAAGATATTCATCAACAAGAAAAAGAAAAATTTACACATCGAATGAATATTCGACGAAGACAATCAATTAAACCATTAACTTCAATAGAAGATGAAAATGAAGATGGATTTTTAATTGATACAGAAAATTTTGAAACAATAGAAAAAGGTTCAGTCAAATGGAATATATATATATCATATTTACAAGAAGGTGTTCATGTTATTTTTGGTATTTTTATTTTAATATTTATATTTGGTTTTCGTCAAACAACATCTATTATCTATAGTTGGTGGTTAGCTAAATGGAGTGATGATGAAAATTATCGATATCGACATCAAAATAATTGTACAAAAATAATAAATCAACAAATTAATATTATACATTCGATGAATAATACCGAATGGAATGAATATCGAAATAGTCGTTTCTATTTTTATTGTGGTTAGTAAAGTAGATCTTAAAACAGAGATGGAACTGGTACGACTTTTAGACCAACCGGTTATCGGCCAGTAGACTGGTTCCATCTTTATATCAGGCATCTGATACAACTTGATAAATCAAGTTTGCCACGCGATAAACCGTATTCTCCATATCTAAACTACTTATGTTTCTTCCTGTGGCTTCTCAATGTGTTATGCATTACCGGTAGACCGATCGGATCGGTCTAAAAAGTCAGACCGATATCGAACTGAAAAATTTTAGATCGGTTTCATCTCTACCTTAAGAATTGATAATTAGAGAAATACTTTTGATTTTCAAGTATATCAGTGACGTAGTCAGGGGTAGGGCCATTGGGCAATTGCCCATAGATTTATTGAGCTATGCAGTTCATGAACAGTTATTGCCCATAGATATTTCTGAAGTCATAACGATTGCCTTTACCCGCCCGTAACTCAAAATAGTTCGGCTGATGAATTGCCCATGACTCAAAACTTCCTAGCTACGCCACGGAAGTATATTGTTAGGAAGAGTATTGAAAATTGATTAACAATGTATTTTTGTTTTACAAGAACTTTCTCTAATAGGATTTTTAAATATTAATTAAAATTTAATTCATATTTTATTAATATAATAGAACATTAATAAAGTTTGCATTATTGTTTAAAGAAACAGTGCTATAATAAGTTATTCAAAAACAAAAATATACAGTATATATTCAGTCTTCAATGCTTTTTTAAAAGTATAGTTGAATAGAAAAAATTTATAACAAAACATTTCTCTAGTTAGGCATTAATAATATTAAATTATCATAACTAAAATGATTTTTCAAACATTTTTTGATACGAAAATGTAGCTTGTATTAAGTATAAAATAATCTTCTTACATTTTTTTTTAAAATTTTATTATTTTGTATAGGGATTGCATTAGTTCTCTTAATTCTAAGTCTAATACGTATAATCATTATCAAGTTAATATGTTTGAATAGTGGACGAACACTTCATAACAAGTAATCATCATTGATTTGAATTTTTCAATTGTTTTCTTTTTTTTTCATGGTTTCGATTAGAATGTTTCAACGATTGATTCGATGTCCAATTTCATTTTTTGATTTAAATCCTATTGGTAAGTTAAATGAATTCTATTACAATATTAATTGTACAATAATTTTATTCAAGGTCGTATTTTAAATCGTTTCACTAAAGATATAGCTATTGTAGATGAATATCTTCCATGGACATTTTTTGATTTTCTTGAAGTAAATATTACATATAATAAATCCATGTCTATTTTTATGTATCTATTCTCAGTGTCTTTTTCAAGTATTTGGTGTAATTGCTCTTGTTAGTTGGCTTAATCCATGGTCATTCATACCAGCAATAATAGCAACTATTAGTATGTTATTTATTCGTCATCGTTTTGCTCAATGTTCAAGAGATCTCAAACGACTTGAAAGTACATCCAGAAGTCCAATTTATTCTTATTTAACATCAACTATTCTTGGACTTAAAGTTATACGATCATATCATGCAGAAAAAATTTGTTTATCAGAATTTTTTTCTCTTCTTGATGATAATTCACGTGCTAATTATCTATTTCTAACAACTAATCGATGGGCGGCTATTCGTTTTGACTGGATTACAATATTTTTCATTGCTATTGTAACATCAATGGCATTAATTGTACATATTACAGGTCGACTATTTTCAGCTGCCGATATTGCTCTTACATTTTCATTCAGTCTTAATCTTATGGGTCTTCTACAATGGACTATTAGGTTTATTTGCAAAAAAAAATACATATAGCCGTAAAACAATTCATTATATATATTTATTTTAGACAATCAGTTCAACTCGAAACACAAATGACATCAGTCGAACGAATACTTGAATATTGTGCACTTGATCAAGAACCACCTGCACAAGTATCACCAAAAAATCGACCACCAACAAATTGGCCATCACATGGTGAAATTATATTCGAAAATGTTTCTATGTCTCATTCAAATAAATTAAATGCACCTCTTGCTTTAAATAAAATTTCATTAATTATACGAGCTAATGAAAAAATAGGTATTATTGGAAGAACAGGTGCTGGAAAAAGTTCATTTATTCAGACAATATTTCGAATGGGTATAATTATTAATGGACAAATTAAAATTGATAATATTGATATATCAACTATTGGATTAGATGATATTCGACGTCGAATTTCAATTATTCCACAAGATCCTGTTCTTTTTACTGGAACAATTAAAAGTAATCTTGATCAATTTGGTAATTATTCGGATATTGAAATATGGCATGCACTTGAACAAGTTAGTTAATATTAATTTAAGAATTATTTAATTTATTTATTAATTTAGGTACAACTTAAAAAATTAGTTAGTAATGTTATGCCTAATGGTCTTTATTCATATGTTAGTGAAAGTGGTTCAAATTTAAGTGTTGGACAAAAACAATTAATATGTTTAGCAAGAGCTATATTAAAAAAGAGTAAAATACTTATAATTGATGAAGCAACAGCTAATGTTGATAATGCGTAAGTAAATAACGAAAAAAATATTGTTATATTAAATAAATATATATGATATATGAATAATATAATGATTTAGAACGGATGAATTAATTCAACAAGCTATTCGTGAACAATTTAAAAAATGTACAGTATTAACAATAGCTCATCGATTACGTACAGTAATTGATAGTGATCGTATTCTAGTATGAAAAGATTAATATTATTTTGATTATAATTTACTTTTTTTATTTTTTATATATTGAAGGTACTTGGTAATGGAAGAGTATTAGAATTTGATACACCTCAAGCATTACTTTCAGATAGAAATTCTCAATTTAATTCTTTTGTGAAACAAACTGGAATATCAGAAGCTGAACATCTTCGAACATTAGCAAATAATGCTAGATCTAATATTAAAAAAAATCAAGATATATTTCTTTATAATGAAACTTTATTAGAAAATGATCATGAAACAGATTCTCTTATTTCAACTTAGCTAAATATAATTTTAAAAATTTATGTTTCCTTCACTAAACAATATATAAGATTGTAGCGTTCTTATTTATAGATATTTCATATTTATTATATATAGAATATATATTGAAATTATTTGGCATAAATTCGAAAAAAATTTTCATTTAAATTTCATGTGATAAATAAATAAATTAAATAGATTATTTTATTTATGTTATATTGATTGTCAGATTGAAATTTATTATAAAAACAAATATATAAATTTCAATAAACTTATATTCATGCAAAAAATTATCAATGTAATATTGAAAATAAAAAGTTGTTTTACTATTTAGAATATAAGATAGATTAAGAAGTTATTCTTTATAATTAGATACAATATTGAAGATCTTTATATCTATTCAAAAATAATTATTTTGATTCTAATGAATAATTTTATTTAAATTTATTGTTTTGTCAATAATCAAAAAAAAAAATAGTTACTTATTTTAATACTCTTAGTCAACATTTACGACAGCAAAACATATTTATTTCGTATTTGATTTAACATGTTGTTAATTTCTTCTTTTTTTTATGATTCTGTGAGTATTTTTTTCAGTTTCTTACATACATAATTTCTATTTATATCTCAATAATTGAAATCAAACGAATTGATTGTTTTTTTTTTCATTTTAAACTAACATGTAGTCACTCAAAAATGACTAATATCGTGCCCGACACCCCCTAACCTGAGATTTTCTGATTTTGTTAACTGTCAATTTTGAATTTTTTTTTTTTTTCTTGTCATCAATAATTTAGTAAACATTGCTCTATACATACACCAATTTTGATTTGACAGAATAACGAGAAATCCTTATATCAACAATTTGTTTAATTATCTATTATCAATTGTTAGTTTTTCGTGAAACACGAAAACCGATGAAATCATCGGAAATTTATCATTTTCGATTCATTTAAAAACATAAACACCATATCATAGTAATAACAATAGATTTACTTTTTTAGTTATTCCATTGTACTAGTCACATAATATCTAAGTGTCAACTGATCTGTGTCTATATATTATATAATGTTTCTTTCTTTCTCTATATATGATCCATTCTTAATGAATAAAATAAATTCACTATTGTAATACTACGAATCAATTAGGATGGGAATGTAATCGGGAAAAAAAAGTAGTGAAAGTAATATTCTTTTCATCAACAAAAATCGTTATCCTATATCGTATGAAATTTGTTTAGAATAGTTGACAGTACTGATTACATAGTTTTGTAATATGGTCGTGTATGCTTGCTTATTTTTTCTTAAGTATAATACGGTTTTAGTGTAATTCATACCAGAGGTCCAAAAAGGGCACTAGAGCTACTGCTCAACCTGATCCTTACCTGCCTGTCATAGGCATCACCTATGGTTTTCAGAATAGTGCAAGTCAGAGATCCAAGCAAGTTTTGGCCTGTCACTTGCACCAGTCTGAAAACGATGGGTGATGCCTGTGGCAGTCGGGTCAGAATCAGGTTGAGCAATAGCTCTAGTGTCCTGTTTGGACCTCTGATTCATACATCATTATTTATAAGGCTATTAAGTAAATTTTTTTCTACACAATTATACGTTCGTGCTCTCATTGTCTCATTTACATATGTTTTCATACCAATCATATGGAAAGTTGTAAGGATATAATGATAAGGAATAGATAATTGAGAAAAAAACTTAAGTTAATTCTTCAAGTCGATATTATTGTCGATTAATAGATAACGATGAATTAGAATTTGTTAATGTTTATAAAGAATAATATTTTAATGAAGTTAAACAAAAAGATTATTCCTTCATATGAAGAAATATTCTTTAATATGTGTAATTTGAATAGAGAAGATTTATTAATTATCAATTGACAAGAACAAAAATATAAACAATATGGTATTGATTTAAAATTGAATTTTTATTTTTAGTTAAATATCAAAAAATAATTATACTCTAGCGCTTTCTATTGATTGGTTGTTGCAAATGAAAGTTATTTCATTTATAATGAAACATAACATAATATTATTTCATTCTTATAGTTAAAAAGTAATTCATTTAAAAAAAAAAAAACGAGTAATTTTTGTTTTTAGATCTCTAAAATTAAAATTAAAGAATAATGATTATACCAATTCGATGTTTTACATGTGGTAAAGTAATTGGAAATAAATGGGAAGCATATATTGAATTATTACGATGTGAATATACAGAAGGTGATGCACTTGATTTACTTGGTCTTAAACGATATTGTTGTCGTCGTATGCTTCTATCACATGTTGATCTTATTGAAAAATTATTAAATTATACACCATTAGAAAAATAAACTGAAAGATATTAAATTTGTGTTTTTGTTGTTGTTCTTTTTTGATTGAATAAAAAGAAAAGATTATTGCTAATGGTGATTATTTAAAAATATCTTTACAACAAAAAAAACAAAAAGAAATATCTGAAGATTTAAATCAATATGTAGGAAATAGTTAAGTTATGGTTGTTTTTAGTGATAAAATTGGTTGAAATTTGGATGAATTTTCTTTTTTTATATGATAACCATTGACATGAATTATAATCTCATTTTTATTTATAGATATTTAGAGTATATTTGATTTAGTTTTGATAATTATCATATCATGAGTAAATAAATTAAATAGATTATTTTATTCATCTGTTGCTTTTTGTTTTTTTTTGAACAGATGAAAATTTCTCATAACAATTAGATTGTTTGCAAGTATGAAATTTTTTTATCAAAACTAGTGTAGAATTTTCAATAAACTTGTATTCATACAAGAACTACTAAATTCATATTAAAAAAATTTATTGTGTTAACATTTATAATATAGAACAGATGAATATATTACTCAATTATATTTAGTGTATATCGATTCTTTTTCCCTGTCAAAAATTATTATTCTTTGTTAATAATGACTAAAGAAAAATAAAAACTCTTTATTTAGATTCTCTTAGTTGATATATATCAAGAAAACAACAATTTTCTTTTTCTTCTTTTGCTCTCACGTGTCATGACTTTTTTTTTTTTGTTTTTCATTCTGTGGGTTTTTTTAAAAGTGTCTTACACATATGTGTTCTATTTATTTCAGTTTAATTCGACATGTGGTTGGTATTGCAAAAATGACTAATCTATTAGATAATATTATTTCAGTTTTTCTCAATAAAGAAGTTTTGACTTTAAAAGATTCTGATATTAATCGTTCATTAATTACTCAAGGTATTCAATGTTCTATAGAAGAAATTCGTCATCATGTTCAAATACATAGTCCAACATTATTTCAATTCTCATTCAATAAAGATCATACAATGATAATATGTATCGATCCACAAGTAATCTATTTAGATTTTCTTTTTTAATTGAATTTTATTTTCTTTTGAACTTTCATAGATTGATGTTTGTGATGCATTTCTTACTGGTATTTGTCATAATAAAATAAAACAATGTAATAAACTTCATATATGTCGTGAATTTGGTCAATGTAAAATTCGAGATTGTCGTTATCCACATAATTTTAATCATGGTCAAAATCAAAAATTAATTCAACAAATAAATTGTCAAAATTTAAATTGTATATTACTTGTTAAATTAATACAAATGAAAAAAAAATTAAATCATTCAAAAAATTTAGTAAATTTAATAAAAAAAGATGATATAAATAAACAAATTGATGTTAGTTATCCATCAAAAAATCTTACAGAAAATATTGATATGGAAATAATTGAAATGACATTAAAAATTCAAAATATAATTATTGAAAAAAAATTTCAAGAAAGTGAAAATGAATTTTTTCGTCGATGTACTATTCAATTAGAACAAATTAATGGTATTCAAGTTTTTATTTTATTTTGTTTATTTTTTCTTAATGTTTTTATATTTAGATGTTGAAAAAATACTTATTTCACCAATTCATAATTGTGAAAATTTTGATATTAAATTTAAACGTACAAAACAAATTCTTGATCGAAGAAGTTTTTTATTAAAAATATTAATTAATGATGAACAAGATAAAATAGATGAAGGTCGAATTAAATTATATATTTCTTTACTTATTGGAAATTCTATTTCATTTACAATTATGGATCTTTCAATAATGAATGAACAAATTTATCTTATACAATGTAATCATGATTTAGGTATAAAAATTTCTTTTTTTTTTAAAATAAAAAAAATAAAGATTTTTTTTTTTTAAATAGACTTTAATAAAATTCATGAAAAATATCAATCAAAACCACAATTACAAGGCAAAAATTTATCATTAATACAAATATATGAATGTGATACTATTAGTATTTCTTATATTGATGAATATAAAATAATGAAATATGATGATATTCATAATATTATACAATGTATTAAAAAAAATGTTTTTACATTTCAATTAGTAAATGACTATTGTGTAGAGATTGAATTTATAAATACTGATGGTAAGATAGAATCAACAAGTTTATTTAGAATATTTATAGTAACGAAAGATATAATATAAAATATTTCGAAAAGAAAACTTAATCTTTTGATTAAGAATTTTTACCAAAGATGATGAAAAACAAAATTTCAGTTTATTTATAGAAGTCTATAAATAGGTGTATACATCAAAAGAAAACAATGAACTTTGTTGGTCTTCAATCAATAAAATAACATTCAACACTTGTAGAGTCTTTTCAAAGTTCAGTCGTTTGTAGATCGTAATATACGAATAATAAAGAGAGTCATATACATATGACACCATCGCGTTTTATGACATTTTCCTTGAAGGTTCTTCTAAAAAAAAAGTTACTTTTCGCTAGAATGGTCAAAATTGAGATAAATACATGAGAAGATAGTCCGTCATTTTTTCTCAGTTCACGATATCTCGAACGCGCAAACCAAATTTCACTGTCGATACTCGTCCAATGTATTTATTTTCTTTTTTGTTTGAAAGAGCGCGTCAAGACGCAGTACAGTACAGAGCGCTTTTGTTTTTTAATATATATACAGACACTTATATAACTTGACATCTATTTTTTTAAGGGGTTTTTGAGTCATTGAACTTTCAATCTCGTTTTTTCCCTAAAAAAGTAAGTATTTAAAAAAGGGCTCTGTACTGCACTGCATCCTGACATGCTCTTTCAAACAAAAAGAAAATTTAAATACATCACACAGACCCGAACTGAGAAATTTCATTTGCTAAATGAGCAGTTTTTGACCCTTGTTTGGCTAATATCTTGCCAAAACATCATGATATCGGACTAAAAACTTTACCATAGCCTTTCCACACTAACCCCAACATATCCTGAAAGTTTCATGTCATTTGAACGTTCTTGGGCTGAGATCGATTTTTGAGGGGGAGGCTTTAATAAAATTGCCAGCATCTCGAAAAAACCAAAAAAAAAGGCATTTACCAATTCTTCGGTACTTTAAAATTTCCCACAGAGATGGAATATGAAATCTTGATATATTGTGTATACTTCATTAACTATTCAAATTTCTATCGAGATTTTAGTTCGATGCTTGGTATCACAGAGCAGAAAAATTATAATAACCTTGTTTTAATAATTTTCAGCAGTACTGTATATGTGCATATCTAATATTAATAACAAAAAAAAAATGCTTGATTATCTGGGAAAAATATGTGTATATTTCTTTTATTTTAGCTTTTAAAGAATGGATGTCAATTGTTGAAAAAATCAAGGCGAAATTTCATATTACAGTTACACCAATGATTAACGAAATTGATGATGAAAATTATAACGATAATAATTCCCATTCAACAGAATGTGGTCCCTCTACTATGGATAGACCTAATTCAGTTACAATTATACTTCGTCCTCAATGGTCTATGGTTGCTGCTCATCCTATATTTCAAATGGAGTACAAAAATTATATTCGTAACTATGATTAATTTTTTATTTATTTTATATAATCTATTCATTTTTTAAGGTAATGAACTTGGTGGTGAAATTGAAATAAAAGATAATGAAGTAACTTATATAGGTAAATTTCCACGTTTATCACGTTGTCCAAATAATACAGCAATATTTGCTAATAAAACAAATAATTATATGCAAAAATTAAAATATCAAACACTTCATGATCTAAAACCACATCATGTTAATATTCTTCGTGCTAATTCAACTACTGTGGCATTTAATCGTATTCATAGAAATGATTATATGATAGCAGCAAAACCACAGGATTTATTTGAATTAAGAAATAAACTTTTTCCGAAAACAAATCAATATCATCAAAATGAACGTATATATATAGCAAAAAATCATCAATATGATAATAGGTAAGTTATAGTGTTGAAATTTAAGTAGACTGTGATACAATGAGGGCTCAAAAAAGCATGTATATTTTTGTTTTTACGTATAAACGAATAATAAGGATATTCTGAAAATTTTCTCTCATATTGGACTTTGTAGAGCTTTTTTCGCTGATCATTTTGGTAAAAAAAATTTTTTGATTTACATTGAGTAATGACGATGTTATAGTCAAAATACTAAACACTGTAATACATACTATATCTAATTACAATTGAACATACGCTGAAAATCACACTAAAACCTCACTAAATTCGTTGCTTTCCTAATAGTAATTATAGAGTTTTGTTCAGGTTTTTATGCTCTTTCATATGAAAGAGTTGGAATTTAAAAAAAGAGAAAAATCAAAATTTTATTAATTAATTGCTAATTATTCTTAATTAGTAATTAATTAATTAATTACTAATTAATTAATTACTAATTAGTAATTAATTAATTAACTGCAATATAAGTATAAGTACTTGTTACCAAAACGTAGCCCATTAAATTCTGTATCGAATGATATATAGAACATCTTTCAGATGTTGTGAAATAACGTAAAAATTAACCAAATACTAAAAGTGTGCTAAACTTTTTCCCTACTTTATATTACAGTGTTTAGTATTTTCACTATAACATCGTCATTACTCAATGAAAATCAAAAATTGTTTTTACCAAAATGATCAGCGAAAAAAGCTCTACAAAGTCCTATATGAGAGAAAATTTTCAGAATATCCATATTATTCGTTTATGTGTAAAAACAAAAATGTACATGCTTTTTTGAGTCCTCACTGTTAGTTATAACAGCTTTTGATACACTAATAAATTTCTTCGACAATCTATTATGACCTATGAATGCACTCAGTTAAGCTAGAAACTAATGAATTAGGATTCATTTTTTTCTCCTTGACCAAAAGCTATTAAAAGTTCAACATGCAGCCCTAAAATCCATATAAAAAAATGAATCCAATAGGATCCTATGAACTGTAGAATCAATCAGAATAAACTACATAATTTACTTACTATGTGAGTCAGTAATCCTTACTCTAATTTGTTAAAGTTTTTAATACTTATCTATTTAATATTTATATTTATAGATCACTACCAACTCCTCTATTAAACCATGAGAACAACGAAGAGTACGTTCTCAATGATTTTAATCTATAGTTTAAATTTATATTCACTTTTGATTTAGATCAACTAGTAATCTTCTTACGAAACCACCAGTTGCTCATACATCTTTTTATTCTGTTGCAACAACAGAAGGTATAAGTATGTTTTCAATAAATACATTTGAAGCTCGTTTACAACAACATTTAAAAGAAACATATAATGTAAAAGTAAATATTGAACGAAAAAAAACAAAAGAAGAAAAAATTCATATTATTATTGAATTAATTGGTCAAATGAATGATGTTAAAGGTGCACTTGATGATTTAATAAATTTATTTTCATCAATACGTACACGAAAATTTAATGATAAAATTGGTAAGTAAAAAAAAAATTTAATTTTTTATAAAAAAATTATTTATTTCTTTTTAAAGATGGAAATTGGACAAAGATTAATGAAGCAATTGATGTTATACAATATCATTTTACATTAAATAATTTTCTTTGTATATGTCAAAAAATATCATTAACAGATGTTAATGTTAATTATTTTGATTTAACAAATCCACAATTTGGTATTGATGAACAAAAAATTGAAGATTTAATTAATAATCAATTTAGTTTAGCAACTATTATTTTTATTCCACAATCAATATCATCAAAATTTACTAAAGAATGGATAAATTTAGAAGAAATAATTAGTAAACGAAATGATTATAAAAAAGATATTTGTTTTTATAATGAAACTAATATTTTATATTTATTTGGTTTAACAAAATTAGTTAAAGAATTTCATCAAAAATTTGAACAAATTAAAAATAAATATGTTCCACAACCATGCAAAATTACTCTTTCTGATAAACAGGTTTGATTTATGTTTTTGGTAAAGCTTTCTTATTATATTGAAAAGCGATTTTATAATATAAGCATCATTTTTTTGAGGGATTGAATTTGTGAAGCCTCTTTTTCTTATTAAAGATAAGAATAAAAAAAAAGGGCTCTCATAGGCACTGAATCCTGACATGCTCTTTCGAATGAAAAAAATAATGAACCATATTGAATGAACATCCATAGAGATTTTTGGGGACCGCGATAAGCTATTTTTCGACCCTTGTTTAGTTCGTATCTACCTCAGATATTAGGATAGGAGGCTGGAAATTGTACTACAGACGTACTTTTACACTCCCAACATATCCTCAAAGTTTCATGCTATCTCGATGTTCCGTAGTTGAGATCGATTTTTGAGAGGGGGGGGGAGCTTAATTCTTGTCATGAGTTTTTTTTTTCTTTTTCTGAAAAAAACTTCTCGCTATTGAAATAATTGATTCTAAAATCTTCACCATTCTAACCAATACCTTTATTTAATGTATATATTTCATTATTGAATTTCATTTTTTTTTTGTTTTAGCTTAAATTTCTAAGATATGTAGCCAAAAGTGATCTAAATAAACTTGAAAAACAATATAAAATTGATGGATGTGATTTAAGTTTAACACGTCTTCAACAACATGGTCATTTTCTTGCACCACTTGATTTACATACAAAAATCAAAGAAAGTCTTGAATCTTTAGCACAAATTACTGAAATTAAATTTGAAATAAAGAGTAGTGCTTTTGCAATACTTATTAATAATGAACCTGAACGTCTTTTATCAATTGTTAAATCAAAATGTTATCTTGAAAAACAAATTCAAACACATCATATTAACATTTCAATACCAATAGCACAAATAGTTGATCATGAAGATAGATCACAACAATCTCAAAATGTTCAAAAAACAAATTTAACAAGTATTAATATTGGCAAATCAACAATTACAATTGCAATTGGAGATTTAACAGCACAAACAGTAAGTACTTTTTTTCGATTAAATATTATAAAATGAATTCATCTAGCAATTATTCATCAATATGAATGTATTTCGAATAGATAAATTGATTTTTATATAATAATAATATAGTTAAAATCAAGATAAAACAGACAATAAATCATATATAGACTGAAAATTGGATTTCGATTCATTGAAAGAGCTTTTGTACTGAAAAAAAAACTTGTCTTCAGTAAATTTAACCATTGCCTTATTTTTACTAATCCTATAGAGATGAAATTTCAAAGAGTATTTTTCTTCTACATCTGTGGCATACATCCATTTAGCGAAAATACAAGTTTTCTAAAGATTTCAGTTTTGAAAGGTTTTTTTCATTGTTACAAAATTATTTTTATTAGTCTCATTTTTGAGTACTTACTCACCTCCTATAAAAAGCTATATTCAAAATAACATTGTGTATCACTAGATGATGAAAAGTATCATAGAATTTCGTATAGTTAGACTATTGAAAAAATTATTCGGAACTTCACAATATCAAGGGCAGGATAATATAAGTATATACTCATATTAATCCTTTCTGACCGGCTATTTGAAAAATAGACAGATGTTTCTATATGGCAAGATCCAGCCGGAAATGGTTAACGAGGAAAACTTGAATTTAGTTCGATCTGAAATTTATGTTACACGAACTTTTTCATCGTATGTTACGGCGTAACCAGAGTTTTGGCGATGATAGGGCTCAGCAACGCTTAAATATCCGGTGGTAGGGCTCAGGTTACCGAGGCCTGTGGGGTGGTAGGGCTTGTGAAAGGATTCAGTTGACGATGTGCTAACACCGGTGGTAGGGCTGAAAGGTCGGGTGGTAGGGCTGAGCCCCCCCTGGCCCTACCTTGGTTACGCCACTAATCCTATGCTTACTTTTAAACATCTATTCTGTATGCAGAAACTTTTATTTCTAATTTTTTCTAATAAAAAAATAAATTTTGTTATTAATTTCTAATCATAATTGTTCTTATTTTTATATAGGTTGATGTCATCATTGTTTGTTCTACATCAGAAATTCTTCGAAAATCAATTATTGGTGCCGCTGGTCCTCAAGTAGAAGCTGAATATATTGCATCATTGAAAGGAAATAATCAACAACTAGTAGAAACATCTAATGGTACATTACCATGCAAAAAAATTCTATTCATTCCATGGAAATCAGATCCATTAAATTTAACTTCTTTAAAATCATCTCTCAGTGAATTTGTTTCAATAGCAATTAAATATGTTTTTACTCATGGATATAAAACTATTGGTTAGTCTTTTCTTTTTTTTTAAATCCTAATATTTAATTCTATTTTATAATTTTTATTTAGCATTTCCAAGTGTTGGATGTGGAAAATTTGGTTTTGATCCATCTATTATTGCTAAACATATGATTGATGAAACAATAATAGAATTGACAAGTAATACATCGAATATAGATGTATTATTTATACTTTTATCACAACAACAAAATGTTTATGATGCATTTATTACATATCTTAATAGTATTCAAATAGATTCAAATAATTTATTAAAACAAAATTTAAAAACTAAAATAAATCATCATTCAAAGATATCATATGAAGAAAAAAGTAAAATATAATTTTTTTTTTTTAATATTCAAATTTTACTTTTTTATTTTTATAGGTATTGAAATAACATTATTTAGTTCAAATATTAATAATTTAACTAAATGTAAAAATGATATTATAGAATTATCTCATTTTTATTTATTTAATATTCAATTAAATAATAAACATGATATGATGGATTGGTCACAAAATACAATTAATCAATATTATGATTATTGTTTAAAACAATATGTTATACCTAAACTTGATTTTGATACACATACACTTGAATTAATTGGACCAAAAGATGCAGTAATTTTGTTAATAGATTAAATTTTTTCTTTCTTTCAAGCTTTTTTTTTTTCTTTAGGTTCTTGAAGCAGAAAAACATTTTTATGAATTAACAACTGAAACACTTAAACAAGCACGTATTCATGCTGTATCACGTGGTGTTATTTGGTCTTTTGAAATAATACCAAATTCAGATACATGGGAACAATATTCATTTAAACTTAATGGACTTATCGAAGATGCTTATTTGAAAAAACTTTCACATGTAAGTTAATAAATAAAGTAAAACCTCACTATAGTGAACACCTATGGGACATTTTGAAAGTGTTCACTATAGGGAGGTTTGATCTTATCAAAAAACGAAGTTTTTCGAAGAAGCGGGCGCGTTTTCTAAGGATGTGAAGAATATTAGTGAATAAGATAACTAGCCAGTGCTCATTATTACTTCTCTCTTCATGTATTTTTGTTCTTGAAATACAAAAAAAATCAACAATTGTTAGAATACAGGAAGTCTCTTTAGTTGACACTGAATAAGACTTCTCAAAAAATGTCCAGTATCGGATGGTGTCCACTATAGAGAGGTTCAATTCCAGCAAAAATCTCTCCGTCGGATCGCGGAATGTCCACTATGGGAGGTTTTACTGTAATAGAAAATAGTAGGGTAGTCAAAAATCATAGACTGTATATCAATAGCATCTTGTTACTATATATAAACTAATTCCTTATAGTATATCTCGAGGATTAAGTAAAGAATTATGTCTTAAAATAGATGTGATCATATTTTAATGTTTCAAGAAATGTATTCACAATTTTTTTAATTTTTATTCAAGGTTGATTTTATTAATGATAAACAAGAAAAATATCAAGTAGTTATATCGAAAATGGAAGAACATCATGAAACTAATATACGACGTATACGACGAAAAGTTGTTGATTCATTATTACCCGATGTAAGTTAATAAATATATATGTTTTGTTTTTTTTCTTTTTAATTAATTATCTATTTTAGACTTGGGAATCGTCAGATCAAAATTGTAAACGAGTTTTATTACAACAATCATCAAAAGAATATCAAGATGTATTACAAAAATTTAATACTACTATGAATAATCAATATACACAAATTATTAAAATTGAACGTATTCAAAATGAACGTTGGTATAAACAGGTACAATAATATGAATGATAATAAAATGTTTTTTCGAATATTCAGAATACAGACAAATATTTATTCTAAATGTATTAGTAGAAATAAAATCATAATCTTGATTATCAGTCTTCTATAAGGCATTTATCAATAATAAGAGTTTTGATAGGAGATATAACCTTTAATTAAGTTTGTTGAAGACCATCTCGGCTCTTACGCAGTGTACAATATCACTAATAGAAAGTAAGCAATAAAGAATATCGTTGCTGATAAGAAAAGTCTTATTATTCAGAGACTAATCCAAGAAAAATTCAAAACATGATGTAGTTAAGAAATAGAATGTGAAATAAAATGAAACAAGATTCAGTAGTATTAGCTATCTTCATCAAAATATTATTTTCAGGCCTTTTTAAGATTCTTTCATTATTAGGGATCGACAAGCTCAGCTCAGTTCCGCTCAGAGGAACTGTTCGAACAGCTCTTTTGAGCTGAGCTGAACTGGTGAACCAGTTCGTTTGAGCTGTGAGCTGTGTTCCCAAAACAGAACACTT